TCTCTTCTCTTCTCTTCTCTTCTCTTCTCTTCTCTTCTCTTCTCTTCTCTTCTCTTCTCTTCTCTTCTCCTTTCTTTCTTTCTTTCTTTCTTTCTCTCTCTCTCCCTTTCTTTCTTTCTTTCTTTCTTTCTTTCTTTCTTTCTTTCTTTCTTTCTTTCTTTCTTTCTTTCTTTCTTCTTTCTTTCTTTCTTTCTTTCTTTCTTTCTTTCTTTCTTTCTTTCTTTCTTTCTTTCTTTCTTTCTTTCTTTCTTTCTTTCTTTCTTTCTTTCTTTCTTTCAGGTTTGGTATTTCCCACATAGGAAAGATGAGCATAAAGAAACAAGTGATGGTGAAAAGGGAGAGGAGATTAATGTGTACAGATTCCTAGTTATAAAAGCAGTCTCAGGGAATGAACAGCACAGAAAATATACTAAGTGATATTGTAATAATTATGTATGGTATCAGATGGTACTAGTGGGACCATTACTAAGGGGAGAAATGCTGCCTTTTCTGCCCCTTGATACTGAGGTATGAAACTGTGATGCCTGGAGCTTCAGCAGTCATTTTGTGACCACGAGGAAATGCTCTCACACATCAAGGATGTCAAAGTAAACAGATGGGAAGACGGGCATTTATGACATTGTTGAGCCACTAAGTTAACCCCCTAAAGCTGCCTTGCCTTGAATTTCTTATGCTGTGAATAATAACCTCCCTTTAAAAGTTATGTAGAGATAATTTTTTCCTGTTACTCCCAGTTTTAAACATCCTAATTAAAATACCTATGTGAAATATAAGAAATAAATAATCTGAAGTATTTTGTTTAAACACGCTTGGAAAAAAATAATTAACATGAGAATGTCTTATTTTAACAAACAAGAGAGGTAATCCTGCATTGTTAACTATCAACAGATGACATATTAGAAGACAGAAGTCTAAGAAAATGCATTTGGTGAACCTTACATTGAGACAAGGAGGAGCTATATCCCATAGGAAGAGCAATGGGGAAAAAGATAAGAAAATGAAAACTCTGCTTACCATTTTATGGGTGCCGCAATATAATAGACCGTTAAAAACTAAACTTTACTAACTTTCTCAAAGGCTCCATGATGCAAATTAAAAAAAACACACACCAGGTAATCCAAACTTCAGCATACAGGATCCATGCTGCACTGAGCTTGCTGTCTGCTAACAGTGGTGCTCTCATATATTTTATACATTGAAATAAAATGTTAATCCGAATTTACTTTACTTTTCCTGTCTCAGGGTAGGGTAACTTCCTGCCTAAGGTGAATTTTCCACACTTAATTGCAACTTCCAATTATCAAACGTTTCCCCTATACATTCAATCTATCTACTTTTGAGCTCTCTATCTCAACCTTCTGGAAACCAAATCAAAATAAGTTAAAAAACATAAAAAGATACAAACTTCAAATTGAAGTGGCAATTAAAAATAAAAATAGTTTCTTTAAGACATTCAAATAAAAGAAAATAATGGCAACATTTTCAAAGTTAATAAGGGTTTTAATTTTAGCAAATACAAAATTCTTTGAAAGAAATGATCAAGACTTCAAAGTTCCAGCTACAGGCATTGTATTCAGTTTCACCACAGGCCACACACACATGCACATATACACGCACACACACGCTCATCATACACACATGCTCACAGTCTGTGACACAAGTAAAAAACAACCCAGAAATGATAGCTCCTTTTGGAATGAGTTTCTGATCACTATCATTTCCTTTGAAATGATTTCTTTTTGATAAAAGATTTAAAAAGGAAACACTTTGTTCTCTACTTCTGTTAGCCGTAGTCAGTGATGGCAGGGAGGAATTGACCATCAGTCATCTTGCCATCTTTGATCACTTCCAGGATCATTGTTTCTCATCCAATCAACTCCCAATAACATTGAACTTCTCCGTGCCTCAGGCTTATGCGAGGATGCTTTACAACTTGGTATGACTTTGAGGGAGTAGTTAGGTTACTTTCCTACACTTCAAAACATCGTTATTTCACCGTGATTAATAATGTAACACATTGCAAGTCTGAAAGGATTTATGTGCAAAGCCATAATTATAACACAATGTAGAGATATTCCCAGAATCTTTTTCTTATACTGACATTGTCAGAGTGCCATAATGAAGTATGCGGTGTTTTTCATTAACTGCAGACATATCTCTTTTTACTTCTTGACAATTTTAAATAGTAAATCAAACGATAATTACTATACCTTCATTATATGCCTGTGAGCTGAGAATATTATTACTCCCATTCTACAGATGGAGAAACTGAGGTTGAGTTGAGCAATAACTTACCCGAGGTCACGTAGGTATCAAGCTGCAGAACCAGTTTTGAATCCAGGCAGATTTAGCATGAAATCCATTGCTCTGGTGAGACAATCATTATTTTAATTAGCTCGTGAAAATGACATCAGAAAGGATCACTCATATATTGCTGGTGGGAATGTAAAGTGGCAAACACTCTTACAAACAGTTTGGCAACTTCTTGTAAAACTAAAAGTGCAGTTCCCATATGGCCTGGCAATTTCACTCTTGGGCATTGAGCCCAGAGACGTGGAAACTTGTTTTCTTGCAAAAACCTGTAGACAAATGTTCACAGTGGCTTTATTTCTAATACCTCCAAGTGCAAACATACTTATCTACTGGTATCGACAAGGAGACTTAGAACCGAAATTTAGAAATCTAATTTACTATATCTTATTTTCTATCACCATGTTATGTATATGTGCGAACCTGTACTTCCATGATGTGGGAAAGTGAGGCTGCCAAGGAGAAAATACTTACCAGGTCTCTTCAAAGCTATACATTAGGACTGTGAATAAAAGCTGGATAAGGTATGCTGAAGAATCTCCTGCACAAGTCTGATACATGATTTTCATGTTAACTGTAAATCTAAATTCCCTCTTGCAGGGGAGACTTTATATAGATCACTTTGCTTTTTTAAGGAGCTGATGTTGCACTTAAACATTCCAACCCTTAAAGCTCAAATAGCACAAGTAATTTTCACTTTTGAAATTGAAATTTTTTATAATGTAATGGCATGGCGAAAGGCTATGTAACAAACAATCTTGCATTTTAAGACAAATATTCTTTTATTTCTGTTAAACTGAATATACAATTATTGTTCCCTAGGCAACCAACTCTTGCTTAAAACTACAATTTGTTTTCACATTAACAAAACAGAGACGGTGAAAAGACAATTTGATTGTGAAGATCTAATTACAATAATAAATAAAATAATTTATACAAAAAAAAACAGTTAAATAAACTCTGGTACATTCACACCAGGGAATACTACTCAGCAATCAAAAGGAATGAACTGTTGAGCACACAACTTGGATATAGATCGCAGATAAATTATTCTGAGTGGTGAAAGCTATTTCTAAAAGGCTAGATACAGTTTTTCATTATGGAACATTTTGGAAATGGCAAAAATTATAGGGAGCAGATTAGGGTTGTCTGTGGTTAGGGAAAGGGTAACTTGGGTGGGAAGGCAGTAAAGTGGTTATGGAAAGACAACCCGAAGGACCCTTGTGGTAATAGAACTAGTTCCTCTCACTACACAGGTGATCAAATTACAAAGAACTAAACACACGAAGAGCTGTCAGGGAAACTGAGGAAATCTGGGTTCTATCTGTGATTTGCATCACTGACAATCCTGTTGCTGATGTTGTCACAGATTTTTGCAAGAGGTTATCCTTGGAGGAAAACTGAGTAAAGGTACATGAGAGCTCTGTATTTCTTTCTTTCTTTCTTTTTTTGTTTTACTTCTCCACGTGAATCTATAATTATCTCAAAATAAAATAGTAATAAAAGTATATAGATAATCCTATTATCCTAATTGAAGTTATTTTCCCACACACCTAAAAAAAAGTGAACTAAACAGTATATACATATTTTAGCCACCAAGTAACATATGAAAATAAGATTTCGTTCAGCAAATAAAGCCACTGCCCTCCATGGGTACATTGCCTTTATTGTTAGTGGTGTATCCACTGACAAATGATTCAGTAATAACGCATTTTTGTGCTCTGTGGACATGCATTATACAGTGTTTTTTGAAGTGTGAAAAGAAATCCCTTAACAGAAGTACAGCTTTCTTTTTGCATTAATTCATTATCTGAGCCTGGGCGTATATGTGTGGTTTTCATTTTCTTTGTGTGGCTCTTGTCAAAGGCATCGATTTAAAAAATATGTCCTTATTTGTCAATGTCCACTTATCTTTAAAATACACATAATTTAAGTCATTCATTTTACTTTTAAAAAATGGCAGAATAGTTGTCCCACTTTTCATTTGAACAGGATGGAAGGGAATTATCTCTCTCTTTTTTTAAAGGTTTTAAAGTCTGATTTCTTCAAATGCAGTTCTAATGAAGCAAGGTAGTCAAATTACCGTGTCTGATTTGGGCTGTTATTTTCCTTATTCACTCTCTCCAGATTCCCCAGCTCCCGCTCCCCTGCCATTTCTATGCAACCTGTCCCAGCTGTTATTGGTGTTGATATAATACACACAAAGCGAGATTTGCCTTTATGGTTACCATGGAGACACTGCTTATTAAAAGCCTTTCTTCTGAAAGAATTGAGACATTACGCATTCACCCAGGTCTTGTAGGCAAGTTTTCTACGTTCCGAGATTATGTGTTTAATAAAGAATAGCTCTATGAAATTAACCTCTGGCATTGACCACCTACCTTAGTGACCTTGCACTGCTCCACACTATTTCCCTACAGTTGTGACCACATCTTTCTGGCCACGGGGAACTAAATATAACAAATGAGAAGCTAATAATTCTCCCCTTTCCTATGCCACCCTCCTCCTAATTGAAAAATCGGTAGCAATTATGTACATCTCTTCCGGCTCTACTCAAATTTATGGCTCCATAGACTTTGTAAGCTTATCAAATATCATGACATTTGGCACATGGATGGTTGGCATGACCCACTTAAAAATGTATTGCATGTTGCCTTCTACCATGTGCTGTGTCATGTATGTTAGCATTGCCACTTCTAGACTATAAATGAATCAAAGATAGCATCATACTGTCCTGCACTAACTTTATATCCCGTTTGTCCTTCCCTTTTCCATACCTCACTAACTCAGCAAAGAACAGCAAATCACTCAGTTGACACATGTTAATTAAGGTCCTACTGTGTGTCTAGTACATTCTAAGAGTTGAAGGCACAGAAGTAAATAAGGCAAGTCCCTGGATTTTAATATATATATGAAGAGAAGTTGACTTACTTTAAGTATAAAGATTCTTCTACTTTTGTTTCTTTTGATTAAAACCCTTTTTTTTGATACTGCTGGTCACTGAGACCCCTTTGTCCCTCATACTCCAAACACATGACAATGACAGCATTGCTCAGAAACAGCATCAGGAACTTTGGTGGAAAAACACTGGGATGGAGGCGGGCCTGCTGAGCCCCTTGCACAGAAGCTGGAGGGAAGCTATAACTTCAGCTCCTGTCGTCTAAGAAGAGCAGGGGACCAGCACCTGGCCCACTGCTTAAAGGAAAGGCCTGGGGTAAGGGCTTCCCAGCCCATGGAAGGTATACAAAATGCCTTTAACCAACAACCAGGGTGATAGCTCATATAAAGTTACTACACTAGGATGAGGAAGAAAGAACAGACT